AGTTTTTCTTAAAATCTTGCGTAATTAATAAAACTATACTATCGTACATATTAAATTATTCTACTATGTCAAATATCTTTTAAGAAGCATGTATAACTTTAAAAAAGAGTCTGTATAAGTTTGTAAATAAAAATTAAAAGTTAATAAGTTAATAATTGAAATAATAAAGAAAAAATACTGAAAAACGTTAAATTTTGCGAATTAAGCAGTACAATATACTTTTCTTACCTTTTAGATAGTACTTCAACTCTCAAAAGATCTACCTGTTATAGCGCGATGCAACGCGATGCAACACGATGCAACTTGGTTTCTTGACAAGACGTTCGTTATGAAGGTATTTTATTAGTAAAGTATTTGTTTAAAAATTCTGGTTTTACACTACTACAGTACTACCCTATATAAATACTTGTGTAACGTCGATCCTGGAAATCATCGGATTCGAATGTCCCCATGCTTATAGTTAGTTGGCTATATTTATTTCTCAGAGGCGGTTGTAATTCTTGGAGGTGGAGTTATTGGTTCTTCAATCGCATACCACATAACATTACTTAACAAAGATCCAAATTTGAAAGTTACTGTCGTTGAACAGACTGCAATTGGTTGCGCTGCCTCGGGTAAAGCAGGGGAAAAAAATGTTTATATTATCAATAGCTATTGTGTTTTTTCATAAAGCATTCACCTATAGAATTCTTCTGTGTTTTTATCTTATGATTAGTGTAACAAAGGCCCTTTACAAGATCTTGCACGTAAAAGCTTTCAAACTACACCGGTATGATTACCGTGTGGTTGATGGATTTACTTATTTTGCAAGTGATACAAATATTTTGCTAAAAGCACGTGAAATTTTGACCAGCGTTAGGGTTAGGGTTAAGGTTGGTATAAGAATATCATGTAGTAAAATTTGGACTGGATTTTTTTTTATTAGAACGTAAAATGTGATTTCTTAGGCAAAATTTTGAGTTACCGGCGATGTTTCGATTTCACGTTACACCTGATCTTGCGATCTACATATACAAATTTCCTTTTTTGGATTTGTATCACTTGCAGAAATAAGAATACGCGTGGTTGATATACTTGAAGTAAAACTACCCCAGTATCGCCACCAAAAAAGTACGGACACGTGATTTTTTTGTGGCACAAACCAATCAGATTTCAAGATCAGGTGTAACGTAACACGATCAGGAAAATTCAAAACAAACGTTCGTTTTGTCAAAAATCGCTTATAACTCAAAAATCTGCATAGGAAACCACCTTTTGTGCATTAACAAAAAAATTTTCTTGAACAATTTTACTATTGGGTCACTAAAATTGTAAACTTAAGATAGACCCTAACCCAACCTTAAATGAACTTAAAGATTTTTTGGCGTGATCACGTGTCCGTACTTTTTTGGTGGCGATACTGGGGAAGATATGTGATGCTAGTGGCTTGGCTTTCATGCAATCGCAAATGAGCCACAGTAGCCACTTTACGTGATCACGAGACCAGATCGAATGGCTTCACTTGTTTGCGATTACACGAAAATCAAGCCACTAATACACATCATGTGATCACATGATGTGGCTTTTCAGAAATTTTGCTGACAAATGTTCCGGATCAGCCCGATATGAATTCCGAACATGTGCAAAAGAAGAAAAAAGCGAAAATACTCAAAAACTAGTGTTTACATCGACCTTGGTATACAAAATTTTACATATAAAAACAACAATCTATTGTTATAGCCGCTAATGTTAATGACCTAACCCTAAACTTCTATCTTTATGCACTTAGTTTATTTACAGAATTCGATTGCCTTTTTTGGTTTGTGTTATTTGTGCAAATAAGTAAACTCCCACCCAACTCAACCTTAGTAATTGGATGACTCTCATAATAGTGTTCCAAATCGTTAGTTGAAAAATCAACTAGTTGCCAACTTTTCAACTAGTCGATTTGAAAAAATTTTAAACAACTAATCGATTAATCATTCAACTAGAACAATTCCGAGAAATTCCATCTAGTCGGGCAGATACGAATTAATTCCTTTGGTTTGATTGGCTAATCATCTGATGATGCCACGTGATGTGAACAATCAACTATAGTTGGCAACTAATCAATTGGTAAAATATTTACCAACTCAGAACACTCTCTCATACTCTCATGACATAATGATTTACAATCCTGATTCTCATGACATAATGATCTACAATCCTGATTCTCATGACATAATGATCTACATTCTCATTAATCATTAGAAAAATTTAAAATTAGATTATCATCAATTAAAATCTAATGATTCTTATCACTACCGTCAATTAAAATTGATTGGGTTTTCATCGATTATAATCGATATATATAGAAAGCTATCAATTATAATCAACTTATATATATAGATTTATATCGATTATCGTTATTATCAATTTGGATATGAATCGATTATCAACACCACTGTCGATTATAATCGCTTAAAACCAATCGATTATAATCAATTAATTGTTTGCAACTAATCATAATCAGGCTTCAAAATTTTCTGATAATAACTTATCCGACAAATTCTACATAGACCATGTTTTTAATTTTTAATTTCATCAGGAAATTTTGAAGCCTGATTATGATCGGGTGCAAACAATTAATTGATTATAATCGATTGGTTTCAAGTGATTATAATCAACAGTGGTGCTGATAATCGATTCATATCCAAATCGATAATAATGATAATTGATATAAATCTATATTTATCAGTTGATTATAATCGATGGCTTTCTATATATATTGATTATAATCGATGAAGACCCAATCGATTTTAATCGATGGTGGTGATGAGAATCATTTAAAATCTTTAGATTTTAATCGATAATAATCTAATTTTAAATTTTTCTGATGTTGTTCACTAGTTTCATAGTAAAACTAGGATGAAGGTCCGAAACAAATCACACATTGTTACAATTGACCACAGATCACCCTCAATTCTTGATTTCTATTGATTATATCTAACAAACATTGCATTAAATTAGATCAAAAAGAAGAGTTCTAGCTACGCTTCGGACACTTACACATCGATATCTTAGGCTAACTACAACTAGTTTATTTACGACATCAGTAAATTTTTTAGGGTGATTAGTATTGATTATAATCTAAAGATATTAATCGATTAGCAACACCACCGTCGTAAGTAATTGATATAGATTAGAAATCGATAATAATCATATATACGATAAAAATCGATATAGATAAAAATCAATAGTTATCATTTATATGATAGTTATCAATAAAAATTGATATAGATAGAAATCGATAGTTATCATTTGTGATAAAAATCGATTAGATAAAAATCAATAATTATTATTTATGATAAGAATCGATTTAGATAAAAATCGATAGTAATCATTTATTAGGAAATTTTTAAGCTGATAGGTTATGATTACCAACAATTAATCGATTATTATCGATTAATTGTTGGTAATCGTAACCTATCAGCTTAAAAAATTTCCTGATGGAAGGCATGATATGGGATCTTTGCTACCTTCGACATTTTCCGATTGGGCAAATTCGGGAAAATTCAAACCGATATTACCGGTATTTACTTGCATGTAAGTCATTTTTGTCCTCATTTATTCAAACATTCATTTGATAAGCTATTGAATCAATAAGGGCAAAAATGACTTATATGTAAATAAGAACCGGTATGTTGGTTTAAAATGTTCCGAATTTGCCCGATCGAAAAATGTCGAAGGGTGATTTTCCTAGCAAAGATCCCATATGTTTACAGAGAAAGTGTAGCTGACGTATCGGCTACAAAAGCGGCCGATACTAAAAATTCGTCAATTATTTTTAAAAATTCAGATCATCCAAATTGTCTAGCGCTAGAAATTATAACTATATATAGTTTATAACTTCGCTTAAACGATCTCGCAATAAACACGTGTATGCATATGTTAGATCGTACTATATATAAATCTTTTGTTTTTAGTGATTTTGGCTGATCATAATTTTTCGGCCATACTGAAGCCGATAAATTTTACCGGCTTAGCCGGTTTAGCCGATTTTAAAATTACACCATTTAATTTGGACTTTACTGAAAATTTTGACCTCAACCTTGCTCGTATTTTAGGTTCATTCATTTTCCACCTCTAATGCTACAATCCTAGTAATAAAATCGATCAACCGATTTTAAAAAAATCGACCGGCTAGGCTTTTAGCCGATTTTTCACTATCGGCCAAGATCACTATTGGTTTTTTTTTATCTAGATTTACGAAAAAGTTCGGTTCTTTTTCAGTTTTTACCGGATTTTTATGAACTGATGAATTGATAATTATTATTGATCGTCAAAAACTAGAACTAAGATATAAAATAAATTATTGAAAGTCTAAGACTAGTAAACTTTTATTTAATGTGTTGAGTTTTACTTAATTAAAAAAAGAGTAACGTTATAATTTCATATTTAATTAAGAATAAATTATTATCAATAATTTGGTATTACACTGGTCATACCTAATTATTAGTTGGTACGGGGTGGCAAGTTACTGTAGTGTTAAATCTTTCATGTAGGTTTAATTTATTCATGTCGACTTAGTCGACTTAACGATCTATATATTTTCTAAATGGCTCTACACGCTTTACAACAAAGTCAATTGATGTGATATTCTCTATTTTTGTAAAAAAAATAAATGAATTTTTTCTAGATTAAGTCGTTTGTGCCAAATCTAGGGGTCGTTTAAAGCCTGGCATCTTACGAAATTACCCGATATATGTCCTGGATTATTCTGAACAAACCGACGAAGACAAAAACACGAAAATATAAAAAATGCCTATATAAATCGGTCTTGATGCACTAAGTAAAAAGTGTCGGAAATGCGATTTTACTATATATCTATTAACCTCCTAGCCCATGTCTAACCCTAACCCTATATTAATTAAAAATCGGAAAACCCGGAAGTGTCAGGCATTAAACGTCCCCCAAATCTAATCAAAAGCTTTATGATGTACTGAAAGAACTAGTATATACTGGTACAAATCTTTCATATAAATTAGGTAATTCTGACAAGATTGGTTCATCGCTTTGCCATTTTGTAAATGCCTATACGATTTCATCTGCAAATGGACGTTTTTTCGGATTTTTGTCCCAACATTGCTTCATTAAATTATCATAACATGTTTTAGCGTCCTTAACATTTGGAGGCCTTAATTCATCAAGCATTAATTGCCCTTGAATCACTATCTTCATTATAACATTTAATCATAGGTATTCCATATAAAATTTCCACATAATTATATCAAATGGATAAATGCCTGATTTTGTCGTATATTGATCTCTGACCAATATTTCTGGTGCTATATATGATAAAATCCCACAAATTTCTCCAGATTTCACATTCGATATTGAAAGTCCTAAGTCTTCGTCTTGTAAAACATTACCACTGTGAATCTCGATGAATAAGTTCCTGATAATGAATAATTTGAAGATCAGAAGCAATACAAAGTAATAAATTTAACTTATTTTTCAAATCCAATTGTGCTACCAAGATAAGATTTTTACGCAAAGAGCGTGCGTATTGCATAACAAGAATGTAATTTTCTGAATTACACCTTAAAAATGTTGAGCTTTTATTTCCGATATCATAACTTAGTATCAAAACTAATTAATATATAAATAGTTAAAATTTTAAACGCATTAACACATAAATAGAATTATCTCTTACAAATTCTTCATGACACTCTTTTGAATTATGAAGTAACTTAAGTGCAACAGATAGTATAGTGTTTTTATTTTGATCTATCGGTATACTGTTGCAAATCCGCCTTGCCTTGTATCTTTAAATTTTTAGGATAACGGACATTCGCTTTCATCTAATATTGTTTTTAAGTTATCATCAATATCTGAATGATTATATATTAAACTACTTTTTACTGACTGAAGTTCACTATTATTTTATAAATAAGCACGATTAATTACTTGAAATTTGTTCCCGTTCTCAAAATAAATTTTTTAACATTTATAGGTATTAAAAAAATCATATACATTATAATAATAATATGGAAATAGTCACATACATCTGGTGCCATTCATTAGCCTTTTGTAAGTCTCTCATTGTTCCAATTCCATTTCAATAAAACCGTCCAATAAAATACATCCCATCAGCATCCCCATCTCTGCTGATTTTTGACAACAAACAAAAGCTTTATGTTCGTCCCTTTCAACTCTACCTCCAAAAAGATAGGAGTTATTAAGACTATACATTCCTTTAGCATGCCCCATCTTTGATGATAAATGAATGTTATACGTTCATCCTTTTCAACTCCAATTCCTCTTTGATAACAACATCCAACATCAAATGTTCCATTAGCATGTCCCATCTCTGCAGATTTTTGTTAATAAATGAATGCCTTATGCTTATCTTTCTCAACATAAATTCATTATATGCACCATTATCTTTCCTACCTCTGCCAATTTTGATAATAAATAAATGTTTTGCGTTCATTCTTTACAGCTCCAATCCCATTAATATAACATTATCCAACTTTATTTATTCCATCAGCGTTTCCCATCTTTGCTGAGTTTAGATAGTATAAGAATACTTTACGTTCGTTCTTTTCAACTCCAATTCCTTCTTCATAATAATATCCAACATTAAATGTTCTACTAGTGTGTCCCATCTCTGCTGGTTTTTGATAATAAATACATGCCTTGCGTTCATTTTTTTCAACTCCAATCCCATTAATATAACAATATCCAACATTATTTATTCCATCAGCCTTTCCCATCTCTGCCGATTTTAGATAATAATTGAATGCTTTATGTTCATTTTTTCAACTCCGATTTCTTTTTCATAACAACATCCAATATTAAATGTTCCACTAGCGTGCCCATCTCTGCTGATTTGATAATAAATAAATGCTTTATGCTTATCCTTCTCAACTCCAGTTCAATTTTGATAAAAACATCCAACATTATATGCACCATTAGTATACTCTAACTCTGCTGATGTTTTATAATAAATAAATGCCTTATATTCATCCTTTACAGCTCCAATTCCATTAATGTAACAATATCCAACATTATACATTCCACTAGCTCTGCCCCATTTTTACCGATTTTTGATAATAGACGAATGCTTTATGCTCATTCTTTTCAACACCAATTCTTTTTTTTCATGACAACATCCAACGTTAATATTCCATTAACATCACCAAAATCAGCAGATTTTGTAGCATGAATAAATGCTTTGTGTTCATTTTCAACTCCAAGATCATATAGATAACAATATCCAGTCATTTTTATTTCATCAACATTCTCCATATTAGCAGATTTTTGAAAATAAATGAATGCTATATATTTTTATTCTTTTCTACTTCAATTCCTTTAAGATAAGAAATTCCAGGATTATTAGATACAAAATTGTGAAATTTTATTTGGGTATTGATATAAAAATTTGAATATTGGATTACCTTTTATTAAAAAGGCAAGCATAAAGTGGATTATTGCGTAACAGTAAAATTGAAATTCTACCAAAAAACAATACATATGGGTCAATCGGGCCTTGAATAGAATCACTAAATTTAGTCTAAACCCCTTATTTAATTCTTTTTGATTGGTCTGACGAATGATTAGAGTGATTGTTTTGATTTATTGAGGGTTCATTCTGCATTATTATGCATGAAGGATTTAATGAATATGCATCAAGCCCATTAGATTATCTCAAAACCCATTAGATTATCGTCTAATTACTAGCCTGAACCTACTGAAACATGCCATTTTGTCATTGTTGTGTAGTATTAAAAATAAACCTTCCGTCTCAAAAATGATATAGTTAATTGTTTAATGAGCTGTCTGTCAGATAATTGCATTGCCAAATAACCTATTACATCATCAAAAAGTTTTAGGGTACGGGGTTCTCTCTTCTACATAGAGTCGCATATTGGCCCATATGAAAAAGAAATCACAAAAAATATTTAACCCGATTTATCATCTATTATTATGTAAACGGGCAATGAAATTTCAATAATCGAAAATAGGAAGTTTCCTCGAAATAAACGAATGGCATGAAAATAATTTAAATTAGGTGACGTTTATGTTAGACATATTTAAATCATATATAAACATCACCTGATTTAAATCAATTAAATTTTGTCATCTTTAAAAACACAATACCTTTTTGTTTATTCTACAGAAAAGTTGTAGTTACTACAAGGGATAAATCTTATATTTGAGATTATATGGTTTATGTGTCTTACCGTATTGTCGCGAAATAACGCGCAGGGGTGAAATTACAAATTTTGACCTAAATTAAGTTTAATTCGGGCCATTATTCTAAATAACGCCCCTGCGCGTTATTTCGCGACAATACGGTAAGTTTAAAACATTAATAAGCGATTGAGGTGTAAATTTGGTATTACTGTGACTGATATGTAATAACGAAAAAATCTTTTTTTGAATATCAGTCGCGATAAGACAAGTCAAAAAAAAAAAGTATAAAATACATGATAACTGAATTTATGCACTATTCTTATAATTTTCATCGAATTTTCGGTTTTAAGTAAGACAAAATTTAAAAAATTGGAACATTGTCTTTTTACACATAAGAACTCACACATTTGCTCATGTTTTTATTATGAAAAGTTATGTTACGATAACTGAAATTATTCTTCTTTAATAAACTACGTGACTATGTCGATTTTTCAATTAATTTGTTTATATAAAATAGGTTTTTCATAGCCCTATAAAAAAGGATTGTATAAAATTTGTATAAAAGATATGCGAAAAATGTTTAAAAAAAGTGCCATTCTGACTAATTTTTGTCTAATTTTATTTTATTTGAATAAAAATTAGACAAAAATTAGACGGAATGACACATTTTTAGACATCTAACACATTATACAAAATTACACAATACTTTTTATAGGTAAGTTTTTAACCTTTTTTACACAAATAAGTAAGCAAATTAAGATATCGATAAGGTATTTTATTGTATGGATATTCTACGGTCACTTGTAATCAACGGGAATAATTTGTGATTGAATTTATTTGAATATAAAAATTTTTATAAACAATAAAATCACATCAGCTTTAAAATTTTAAAGCTTCTAATAAATACTTTTAAGTAAAATCATTGTTTAAATGCATTTAAAATTATATAGTACTTAAGCTTTATGTTTTAAAATATCTTTAAATCTGATACAAAATCACCTGTTGCCTTAAACATTTATATCTTAATGACCTTAACTCTAACGACTATATTCTTTAGTTTTTTTTTTAACATTACGACAGATTGATCTCTATCTAAATTTTGTAAATTGGAAATTTATTTCTTGATATTGAGGGCTTCATTACCTTTAATTTGTGAACTTGCAACAAAAACAAATGAGATGTTTAAGGGATATGTTAGCTAGAGTTAGCTAGAGTTGTTGGTGAAACTGGTGACTATTTAAATCTGATTGGCTATTAAAAGCAATAGCCAATCTGATTTTAGATAGTCATCAGTTTCACCAGCACAATTTAATTTCACCAGCAACTCTAAAATTAGCCAAAGAAGGAAAGAAAATAAGTCACGAAATCCTTCCCTTAACCAGGTTAAAAAGAATCAGATTGGGAGGATATGAGTCAAGATAAAAAAAAACAAAACAACCGAAAAGGAAAATCAATTGGTAAAATTTTTCTAAGTTACAAATTCTTATTGATTATCCTTTTTTTTTATTCTTTTTTATCTTATCGTTTTAATGAAGGCATTTTTTTTTAAATCCAACTTACTAGATAAATTTAAATTCCTCTTTGAAACTTGTACCTTAGCTGTTTTAGAATGTTAGTAGATTTGCTGTTTGCCTTCTTCCACAGCAAAGGTCAATTAATAATTGATAACACGGAGAAATTCTAATCTACTACTCTAAAAGCGATGGCTTGATCTTTTTTTTTGTTATATTGAAAGTAGTAAAACCTTTCTGCTCACCTTGTTAAATTTAGCTAGTGAATTGTCGAGAGAAACAAGCATGTCATTTTCCTTACATGTGAGGAAAAACCCAGTAGATTTTTGTGATCTTCAAATCAGAGGTTAGGCATACTTATCTGAAATCATCTTTTTGGATGATTTTAAAAATCAATCTCGTCCAAAATGCAGGAGAAAAATAAACGTGATATTTTATTTGATAAGGTCAAAAACAACGCTTTAATGTATTTTATTATTCTAAGTAACTCAAGAAATCAGATTATATGAACCTTTCTATGGGTTATAAACTAGACTTGTAATTATGGACAATCTTCCCTACTACCGGTTCTATTCTGTTATTTGTCGATGCTCAAAGATTGGGTCAGGTAAGTATTGAGCAACACGAGGTAACTATTGGGTTTGTCACATAAGTTTATTATAAAAATCGGAAGAATGTCCAATACACTATCTGAGAAGCTGCGTCTTGGACAAAGCTTTATTGTTTTTTATACAAGAAATACCCGATAATTACGATGGTTATTTGTTGAAGTTACTTAAACATCCAAGACCTAAACAAAACTATATCTAAGTTTACAACTCTCGTGCACAACGTCGTGCATAAGCTGTGCTACAACTAATACAAACTAGCACAATTATTCGCACAAGTATAATAGATGGTTTTTTGATCTTTTTTACTTCAATAGAGTTGATCTATCGCAAGTAAAATAAGTATCACAGTAACTAACTACTCCTAGTAAACCGAGACTAGCATAACACCACCTACAACAATCTGCTGATGATGAGCCGCGAGGACAAACAATCGTTTGTGCTTCCCAACATGTTTATGAGGAATAAAAATACTACTAATTAATGAAAGTGGGACTAAGAATAACTTATTTTCATAATATAGGATTTTGGAAAAAATGTCAATCCTAAGCTTAAAAAATATCACTTAAAAATTAAAAGTCAAGAATATTTTCTCTAAAAGAAGGCTGAACCGAGTAAACAATCGAGATAATAGTAAAAAAGTAGAAATTAAATATACCAAAAGGAAATATGTAGTATTGTCGGAGCCAAAAATTACCACAAGATAGTTTATATACAGGAAAAGGTGAAATTATTTTTAATTAATTATAGTGATTATTTCTGGGTAGAAGGGGATCGAAAATAAATTTAATATGGTCAGAAAAGAAGAGATATCTAATTTTGAAGACAATCACCTCTGGTTATGTAGAGAAACAAATATAATTTTCATAATTTGAACATAGTTTTAACAAATAATACGAAAGTATCAAAATATGAGACATATAAGAATTATTTTATTGATGGATCGAATAACTATAAAAAGGATTTGAAGTCTGTTTAAATTTGAGGTGGATGGTGTTTAAACTTGAGATGGATGAAAAATAATCGAAGTTGATGGTACGTAGTAATCTAGATAAACAGGAAACTTTAATGAATAAATTATAGCTAAATTTGCAGCTGAATTTATTAGCATTTTTGTAATTACAAGTTTTTAAATGTATTGTATCAACTCTATGCAAGTGCGTTAACTTGGAAGTGAAAATTAATTTAAAAACTTTATCTCTACGAAAATTAATTATTCGCATAATATATTTTTTTGCTTTATTCTATAATAATGCACTCGCATAGATATACAAAATACATTATAATTAATGATTGTTAAACTTTATTCTACTTATAATATTTTGTATTCTAGAATATTGTACAAATTAAAAAAAATCTTTCGTTGAAACTTTATTAATTTTTAATACATAACTTAGGTCAAAAACATGTTAAGTTCAGATTTTAGCTGCTGGATTTTTTTACCCTGATTATTAATAATTTATATTCAATTTGAAATTGCCTAATATTAATTATTATAATTAGAGATGTTCGTGAGAGATAAAGTATTTTTTTATCATGTAAATTCGCGCGCAAGATGCGAAATGTCTTCGTACAGAACGAAATTTAGAATTCAGTGGATTATATATAAAAAAATTTATCTTACACGAGATGTAATGTAGTTTAATAGCGCAAGGCCTCACGCAATGGATATCTCTAATTAGAATAGTTACAAATTTTTTAAAAGGTTGAAACTAGATTCTTTACCAAATTTTTTAACAATTTTTTAATTTCAAGCATATATTTTAACTTCGATATTATCACATTTGATATAATAACAAATTATTAACCTTGTATTTTTGTTTTACCATTTATTCTAGAATACAATATGTGTATGAATTTAAAGGCAGTTTATCCTAATAAAATTTTTAAAAACAATGCAATCATAATCGTAACGTTTCTATTGCATAAAAGCTTTTATTACTAAATCAATATGAATTCATACATTTTTTAAATACTTATATAGTAGGAATATGTGAATATAATAGTTGCATTTGCAAGCACAAAGACAAATCCTTTCGTTAGAATCTTTGATGACTATGGTTTTTTTTTTTTTTAGAACAAGTTACTTTTTCTCTTGCTGTTTTGTTTCTTTTTCTTTTTGACCTCGTTGACCGATTTCGGTGACAGGAACACTTTTGAGAATATAATGGAAATAAATAAAACAAAAGTAATTTTAAACAAAAGTAATTTGTATACATATAAAAAATCACACCTTTCAATTCTAGGTTCAGACAAATAATCATAATCTTTTGTTCTCCCAAGAATGATCTTATCATAAAGATCAAAGTTAATATGATCAGAGTCTTGGATAGCGTTTAGAAACATATTGCGTTCTTTGGGATCAAATTCATAAAGATTATATGGTTCTTTTATTCTCATTTCATCGGAGAGCTTATGAAATTCATGTAGTTTTTCATGGTAGTCATCAAGATTTTCAACAGGTTCCCAACTGACGATTAAACCAAGTTTTAATTCTTAAATATATAATAAGTCATAATGATATAAAAGTAAGAGAATTACGTGTCTTTAGAGAATCCTCTCCACATCACCAGGTAAAGTTCCTGACCCTATAAATAATTCATAAGCTCATAATACAGTAATCGTAACAAAGAAATTTATGCAATACACTTACATTTACCACCTTATGAGCAATAATTTGGTCCACCTCGTAGCGATTGGACTTCCAATTACCTACAATATCATCTTTAGAGTCATGTCTAGTACATTTCGAATTCTTTGATTGTTTATCGAAATTTTTCCACCCATCTTCATCCAACGAAAGACTTTTAACTAAATGAGTAACTTGAGTTTCTAAAAATAAGGGTTTAAAATTATAATTAAAAGAAAAATTATGGGTATGGGCCACAGTAATACGATATATAGATGTTTTTCTTTCACCTTCGTCTCTATGTTTGCTGCACATGATATTTTATTTTTTCAAGCTTATTTGGTAGCCGTGATCTATAATTATGAATAAAAACAATACTAATATTGATTGATAATTAAATGCTTATTTTTGATATGATGCTTTGTTTTTTTTTTTTGAGAAAAAAATGAAAACGTATTGTTTTTTCATTAAATATATCAACAATAGCATCAGGATGATACCCTTATTTTTAATGCACACTGATAAAAAAGGGCGGAATTTTAAAATCAGCAAATTATATCTATAAAGAAATAATCAAAATATATCGATATTTTTAAGATAGATAAATAAGAAATGGCATCTCACAGATCATATGACTATTAGAATAGTAAAGTTGGTGGTTTGATGGTTTCTATTTGCTTTTAAATATTTCAAGTAGTATTAACGTTAAATTCTGAAATTTACTGTTTAAAATTATAATTTTATAACTTCTATATATTTTTGATTATAGAAAAAGATGAGAATAGATATTTAGTTAACACGTCTAGATCATATTATTGGCCATATTTGATATGTGCGATTTGTTTAATAAATGGTGTCTATGAATTATAAAATTTATTTCAAAATCAAAATTTATCGTGAGACATCATTTAAATGTCGCAAAGTTATATTAAGTGTATAATCTAAACACACATATTCGTTCGGCTCACATATTTTTTTGTAAATGTTTTTTTTTGATAGGGATACACTGCTTATATGCCGTATTGTGATACCAAAATTGATTAATAATGCATTTTTTTTAACAATCTTGTGTCATCATGACTACATGATGTCTTGATGTGTTCTCTATACTACGTACTGTAAATCTGCATTATTAACTTAAAAATAATGCTCGATCGGTAGATATTATGCTCGTCAACACGATATCACCATTTCTTCTTATGACAATTATAATGTATTCCGATTTAGATAGAAGACTGTTTCTGCTTAATCAGAGACCAAAAGTAATTTGTTTAGATTAGTATTATATAAAAATGTGGTTTAAATTGCAAATTCTTATTTTCAAGACAATCAAAAATTTTAATCCTTTAAATTTTATCATTTGCTTGGGATTACATGATTATAATAGACAACTTACTAATACTGTAATAACGATAAATCTGCATTTTTATTTATTTACCAAAAACTAATTTTACTCCATTATAAAAATTATTACATTTTTCAAATTTAATTTGGTTTAAATGATTTTACTTTCTTTGTTTTGCTAATGATTGGATGATAGATAAAATATTTTAGGTTATGAGCTATATTAATAACAGATACGTATCATTTTTTTGAAGTCTATTGTCTTTAAACAAAAAGACCTATTTATATTAGAATTTGACTTATATCAAAGGCTAGAAAGGGTGTCTTCTAGTAAAATTGCGGAATTTTTTTTTGTTATAACCTTAAAGGCGATTTACTAATACGTACGTATAAGTTTTGAGATAAACGCAAGGCGAACGTTTGTTTTACGTTACGCCAGATCCTGATGTTTAATTGGCCAATTGATCTTGGAAATCACGTGAATTGAAAATCGGTCCTATGCCCTGTCTACGTGCGGAGATTTTTATTATTATATTTTCTTGCGAAATACATTTACACGATGACTTTCTTAGAAATTGGAGGGTTAATGGGACCATATAAAGGGTCATTGATCGATAGATCTCTTTCGAGTTTTTTTGTTTAATACCTTTCGATATTAGGTTCAGCTCGAGCCACTTGAGCCACCTCAGCGGCTCATTTCTCGTTTATAACTTGTGTCACAAAACATTAGGGTGTTTCATATCAACCTGATTACATAGTTCAGGGTTAAAAAGTAATGACTACTAATTCAATATCTGCATGTCATGTTACGCGAAGAATTAAGGTTGTTTTAATCATTTAATATATCGTGCAAATCCGAGAGTTTATTATAAAAAATCTTAGTGATTATCATTATGTAACCTGCACTATATTTGTAATTAGGCCGATATGAAATACTCTAAAGAACATGGATTTTACAGGGCAGTCGTAATTCACAGAATTCAAAATCTGACCAAGCATTAAGCAATACTAGTGTAACGAATTAAAATTTTATTTTTTATATTGTCGTAAATAATCCCTTTATTTCCTCGGTAAAATACCGCATGTACA